GCGGAGAACATCAGCGTAAGAGGGCCTAGTTACAAGATCATCGGTCCGGCACGAGGGGAAGTGTAGAAGGGGTAGGCTTACATTCGCATGTGCCCTTGTTGCTCCTTTTTCTCCGGGCTTCACAAAATTCAGGTTGCTCGTCGGCGGCATTCCAAGCTCACTGAAGTCGTCCGTTGTGACCCCGCGGTATTCCTCCACGTCGACACCCGCGAGGTAAGCCTGCAGAGCCATGGCGTCGCTCCGGTCATACCGCTTGGGCATGTTGATGAAGCGGATCGAGTGGAAGCCCAGTGTGCGGTTTCCGGCGGCCTTCATGGCCAAGAATGCCCTCTCATCCGGGTCATGTTTCTTCCCCCTGAGCGATGACGGATTGAGATGGCCCGTCAGGTAGACGAGTAAGAGCGCGCCGGCGATGAACGAGGTAAGAAAGATGGTCTTGAAACTCATCTGCCTATGGAGGCCGGGGACGCGGCCGACTCGACCCATCGCAGGTGTTGGGTATGTGCGGATATGAATTTATTAGGTAGATGAAGCACTCGGAAGGATAGAGGCAGCGGCTATCTTTGCTCTTGTTCCCGGGTGCTCTAAACAGCTCTTGGGTCGGTGCAAGATTCAGGACTTTCGTCGATGGGAAGTTCCTGGCTCTAAATCCAGAGCTGAGAAAATATCTGCTATCATCGCCTTGCCACTCTACGGTTCTTCTGAGAGTCTCCTAGCTCTGAGCAGAGTTGAGCATTAAGACCTTGCGAACCATATGCCCGATGAAGCTTCAGGCTTAGCCATGCGGGCATTGGACGCCGCGAAGTTACTTAGGTTTGGCCGCTGTGCTCGGAACAGGGAGATAAGCTTGAAAAATCTAGGCAAAAATATACTCAAAGCCACAACGATGGCTGCTAAGGCATCTTTGCTGTACAAGTTCAAGGCGTATACTCTCGCCACATGCGGACGGGCAGAGCTTATTATCAGCACAGCGGAGCAGTGCCTACAGCGTCACGACAAGCGAGGCGAGAAGCCTAGCTGTCAAAAATGACCGTTTTTTCTATAGCACGAGGTATTGCATCAAATATTCATTACCCATTGACGGGACAGAACCTCGGTATAAGGGGGACCGTCGGGGTATATTTATCCAGTTCCCATCCAGGTGTCAATATCAAAGTAAACCAATGCTTTTCCCCGTTGCCCCCAGCATTCCTGGCGCTTTACCTCCATATTCAGGGTACATCAATGTCGACAGAAGAGCAGCCCAAGGTAGATAAGCCGCAACTTCGATCCCCAAGACCTCTGCGTAACTCTCCTCAGAGTGCGGCCTTTCCGCGCGACTCGAAAGGCAGCAGGAGGACAAGGAGACCCGCAGCGATGAACAGGGCACCACTCGTATACACAGGGGCTGATGTTTTGAGGTCTGCAAACATGGCAATGATTGGCTAGGGTGGATGGTCAGCGTCGAGCACAAGAAAGCGATGATAAATGGGGGCTACTCACGGCCATGATGCCGAATACACGGTTGCACGTCGCCGTCAAGGCATTGCCGGTACCCCTCTGCGGCGTCGGGAACAGCTCTGGGGTGTAGCTATACAGAACAGCGTACATGACATTCGAAGTAAAGTTGAAGGCACAATTCCAACCCAGCAGGGACTGCGAGTTCAGCGCAGTGGTGGATGCGTAGAGGAAGGCGCCGGTCGAGACGGTCGAGAGAGCGAGTGTTCCCTTGCGGCCAATCCGCGTCTCGACTGACCATCCACCAAGCAAAGCGCCGGGAACGCCGAGCACGGCGATGATGAGGGAGTTGCGGTAGGTGAGGTAGGTGGAGCCGTCGCCGAAGTCAGCACCTCTGGTGGCCTGTATGTAAGGTAGGAAGGCGTTGTAGAGGGGATAGCCCAGGCCTATGAACGCCCATACACCCATGATGAGGCCAGTTGACAGCGCCAGGCGCCGAGTGGCGAATAGCTTCCGGACGCGATCCAGGTGGACCGCCTCAAGATTCCGCTTGAGAGTGGCGGACGCATCCGTCTGCTGTACGTAGCCCGCTGGCTCGGCGGCTTTCAGGTCCTCGATGGTCAAAGAGGTCGTCTTGCCGTTCCGCCGGGCCACCTCATGAACGATACGGACCGCTTCCTCGTCCCGACCCCGACCCATCAGGTATTTGGGCGACTCGTAGATAGTAAACAAGACGAACCGGACGAAGAACATGACCAAAGTAAGGCCACCCATAGCTATCATGAAATACCGCCAGCCCATGTTGCTCTCCTTCGTGCAGACGGTATCCTGCTGGCACGTCATATAACCCAACAGGGGCCATGCGATCAGGGTCGCGACGACCTGGGCAATGGCCCAGTCGATGGACAGGATGGTGAGCAAGTACTGGTGCGATGCAGGCAAGAATTCTAGGAAGATGGCTGAGTCTACGGGCAGATTACCACCTACGCCGAATGACCAGAGGGCGGCGAAGACCCCGATGCCGGCAAAGTTCGGTGCCCCGGCCGCGATCATGCCGAAGACGGCCGTCACGCCGAGCGTCAAGTTAAAGGCCCATCTACGGCCGAACAGGTCGCAGCCGAAACCCCAGACCATGGCCCCTGCGAGGAGGCCGATGTTCTGAGACAATGACAACAGCGGCGGCCGGCTGGGGTTGAACTCGTTCGCGATTGGGGTGAAGATCAGGGAGGTGACGATGGGCCATAGGTTGTCGCTAGCCCACCCGAACCCGACAACGACGAAGAGTTGCCATTGGTACCATCCCATGCCAATTTCTTGGATCTGCAGATCTGGTCAGTCTGTCCACTGGGTTCCCGGCCTACCGGCATCCTAGGAAACGGCGACAGGCACCTACGGCATGGTTCAACACCCGGGCCTTGGCCTCGTAGATGGGGTCGACTTGTCCGGCCCCTACGGTATCATCTAGGCCCACATCCCCCGTGCCGCCGTGCAGATAGGAGGCGCCGGGGGTAGAGTCAAGGGCGGCCTCGGCGGTCTTGCCAAGGTCGTCGTCTGTTCTGTCGTCGGCCATATCTTGTGGGGTGGCTTAGGACGTAAGGGGGGGACAGAGCCGAAGCGTCACGCGGGAGGAGGCAAGATATGCGATAGCAAGATAGGGGAGCTCAGGGTCCAGCCCGCATTCACTTGGAATGGATAGACAGTGACTGTCGGACGTGCCCGTTGGACGAGGTGTGGGACTGTTCATATAAACGGCACCGAGCTACACGGACCGCGTCGATCAGCCGCGCCTATGGTGACACCACCGGGAAAGACGGAGCCCAGAGCGCAGCATTCAGGATGGGCGCTACCAAACAACGTGCGACGGCGTGCGACGTGGGGAGCATCGCGTCATGGAGAGCCAACAAGAGCGCTGCGCTCGACGCCGGCCGGCGTGGCCGCTGGGTTGGGGATCAGACGACAGGGCGACAACGAAGGAAGCGCCCAGCCTAGGGAATGGCGAGCATTCATGGGATTCGCCCCCCGGGGAGGGGAGGGGAGGGGCGCCTCTTAATGAGACGATTTACCGTCATAATTTCACCGGCGCGGAGTTGGTTCGTGTCATACGGCATTCCCAGCCAAGGCGAGATGCCGTGAATGCGGGCCGGCTGCAGCGAGTTTAGGCACTTGCATGGGCTTGGTACAGTAACTGGAGACTGGAGAGGCATCCCCACGCAAGATGCAGGACAATGGAAAATTGGGGATGATCTGCGACCTCGTGGTTTCTCGACTTGGCAAGTAAAAGCAGCAGCAGGCAAGGGAGAGGGCATGGTGAAGAGGCTGGCGGTGAAAGTCGATCACCCGGCGGCGAGGCGAGCTGGAAAACGGCCGAGGGGTCGAGCTTGCCACTTTTACAAAACTTTTTTTTTTCCTATTTGGTCCCTACGACATCTGTTCCCTGTGGGTTGGGAGAAGTCAGGCAATTGTGTGGCACAAGTTCCATTACCAAATAGCAAAAAGCCAGGGCGAGTCAAGAGAGCCTCGTGCGTAGTACGGGGCGAAATTCGCTCTTCAGATGATGCTTCAGATGCCAACCGGGCGTTCAGGATCGTAAACTTTTCCTTCTTTGACAACCCGATCCGACTCGATCGCATTGCTGGAAGCCCAGGCACGCAGTCCCTGGCGCATTCCTCGTCTGTTCTTGTCTTGCCGTTACACGCGTGAGACAAGAGTCACTCACTAAACCTGGCACGGCCTTCCTCCGATTATACATTGCGTCCAAACGGCCTCGGCTTGGCTACGGGATCTCCAGGTGTCGCAGAAGAACCGCCCGGCGGGCTTGGGTTTGTCTGGTGAAATATCACACCAGTTCAATTCTGTAGAGTTCAGGTGCAGCGTCCGCCTGTGGATACCAGGAACTATATTGTACATCACTCCACACTACCTTGTTTGCCTCCTTAACCGTAGCGCACGTACCCTAGAATGGGTAAGGTTTATACGGTATATACAAGAAGGGTTGGGTTTCTGGAACTTCCAGATGGTTCATTTTCAAAATATCCTTACTCTCGCTCTACCTCCTGGACTTCAAATACGCATGCATATGCAGAGAGGCCCAATGTCCTTGTGGGTGTCCTCGGCCTCTGCTCCTGCTGTGCTGGTGTTGATATCTATGTTCTCTGTACTCGGGTGCTTTGAGGATAGCTAGGAAGACAGCATCGTTACCGGACGAGGGAGTCTGCACGTAGCATCGGCATCTTGGTCCCTCCATTGGGTTCACATACAATATCGAAACATAGTCTGCAAGATGCCGAGGCTGGGTAACATGATATGAACCACGGCCCTGGCTTTTCCGCCAAATCCTCCCCAGATAACAAGGACAGCAATGTCCACGCACATGCAAGGAGGCAAGTTGTAGTGGCTCGGAGGGCATACACACAGACGTATCATCTCCGGTCTTATCGCAAAAAGGGAGGCCACCGCAAGGCGAGGGCGAGACATGCAGGAAGGGAACTAGAGGGGAAAGGAAAAGAAAAAAAAACGGTAGGCCGCTTGTCGCTCCTCGCGGAGAGACTAACACACCAGACTGTTGATCGAACCCAGGCTCGAACTGGGGACCTTCTGTGTCCACAGGACGATTCTTTGACGAACCCATTCCATGTTAGACAGATGCGATAACCAACTACGCCATCCGACCAATCGATGGACGCAACGGAGTCAATTTTGAGTTGATGAAGGGCGACAACGATCTGTGGGCATCGCGTGCGCTAGGTATTATGAGCGATCCACCGAGCTACCATGACAAGGGGGAAAGCAACCCGGCAGCTATGGAGCACTCTTTGACGTGGACACGATGTCCAGCCAGCACGGGGCAGCTGCTACGAAACAACGGGGTTTGCGTGCCCTACCCACCGCAGCGTGCCACCTAAAGGCCGGGCTGCTGCTATGCCGCTATGCAACGCGGGCACCGGCGTCGAGAACGAGGCGCACAGAGGGCCAAAGGCGAGACATTTCTGAGGCCATGTCTCGCAGACTACGGAGCACGGCCGGAGGATGTGGGCCGTTGCGAAATGAACAGCATAGCAGAGACAGCCCGTGAATCGCTCTACAGTCGACCCTGGCTGCTAAGCACATGGCACATGCTTGCCCTGCTGTGACGGATGAGCTGGTCGAAATTTTTGACAATTTTTTTTTCTTCCCTTCTCTGAAATTATCCGCCTGGTCAAACCAGCCTAGTGGGATGGATGACTTAATGGTCTCGCATATACCGGGGACCTCGAGGGTTTGGGTGTAATTTTAGCCAGGGGTCTAGTCGGCCGAGCTGTTTACCATGCTGTACTACCTATAGTACAAATGCTGGAGCGACTAGGTTGCTGTCAATACAGTCATAGTGGGCTCTCTAGCGTGGTAGTTTAGTTAAAGGGTTCTGGTGTTAAGCCTTTCACGTCACTGTCTGGGGAGAAAGGGGGGGACCAGAGACAAGGGTCGAGTCACACACTCTCTCTCCTCGGTACGCAGAACGCGACTGGACTGTGCGGACGGGCAGGGCGAAGATCACTCTCCAGCATTACAAAGTACATACATTCGATGGCCTGCAACAGGGGTATACCAGGGTACCTCGCCACAAGGTGTGGACTACATACTGCGCATTGTACTCGCGTTGTTGTGTGTGTATAGGCTGCAGATGGAGGCGCCGACAAGACTGGATTCATCGGAGGCTTTCCACATAACGCCATCTTTTGGTTCCCCCGCCCGGACCATTGGGCATGGCGATACCCATCTTCTTTTTCCAGAAGATTGCAGGGAGCTCCGGGCGCGCTCCACACCGTCGCGCACCAATGAGGGTCGGCGGCCGTCGAGAGCCGGCAGCTTGTGGTTTATGCGCAAAAGGTTCGGGAGCGATGCAGGCGATACTACCCCCCCGGTATCAGATCATTTAGGCGGAGGGGGGGGGGG